CACATGTTATTTCATGTGTGGTGTTAAACCTAAAGCAAACATGTAAACAAACACAGGAAGGTACATGTATCTGTCTATATGACCAACCTGGTTAAAATATAACACCATGGCAAAAACCTCTTTAAACAATTAACATGCAGTTTAATAAAATTAATATTAGGAATTTGAAACATGTCTGGACTGGGGTGTGGGTACTAGTAGGAAGGGGTTAAACAAATGGAGAGGGTGAATATAGTCACAATAATATACATGTGTTAAAATGGAACCAGGGAACTCTGATGCTGGTTTGGGAAGGGGGAGGAGGGAGAATGATGGACAGGGTAACTGATCAAGATACACTGTGTACATAAATGGAAATCATTAAATGAAACACTCTTGCACAACTAATTGTTAGAGCAATGGATAACAATGATGTTTTGGTGGAACTGGGGTTTGAATTCAGGGACTTGTAATTGTTAGGCAGGTGTTCAACTACTTTTTGCTTTATTTTTGCAATAGGATCTTCAGTTTATGCCTAGAGCTGGCCTCAAACCACAATTCTCCCAAGTAAGGTATAGGCCATCATGCTCAGCATAGAATTGTTCCCCAGATATCACATCACCTGGGAACTTGTTAGCAATGCAAAACTCAGGTCCTGCCCCAGACCTACACAATCAGAAACTCTGAGCCTAGGGTCCAGCAAAGAACATTTTAGCAAAATCTCCAGGTGATGATGCAATGTATGAGAACCATAACCTTAGTGTTAAGTATTAACTGCAATCAAAAAACAAAGGTTTAGCTGGACACCAGTGGCTCACACCTGTAATCCTAGCTACTCAGGAAGCTGAGATCTGAGGATTGAGGCTCAAAGCCAGCCCAGGCAGGAAAGTCCATGAGACTCTTATCTCCAATAACCACTAGAAAACCGGAAGTGGCGCTGTGGCTCAAGTGGTAGAGTGCTAGCCTTGAGCTGAAGAGCTCAAGGACAGCGCTCAAGCCGAGTTCAAGCCCCACGACTGACAAAAAACAATAACAACAAAAAAACAGTCTGAGACTGGAAATTTTACTACGAACCACCATGATCTTCTATTTTGCTTTGTGTACTTTAAACCTTTGTACACTAGAGACATACTCTTCTATAAGGGATCAAATTTGTTGGTTAGAATGCAGTTACACAGGAGAGAAAATGGAATGGAGAAGATACCTGCATAATTATGCCCTCCTATGCATTTTATAGGTTTCTAAATAAGTAATATGGAAAAAAGGATATTTTATAGGTGCTGGATTTCCTATAAATTCATTAACACTATAATAAATGAAGAATGAGTGCCTGGGAAAGAGCTGTATTTTTCTTGAGATTCATTTGCAGATCAAGAAATTGGGGTTGACACATGAAATAGGTGAGTTATTTTTTCCATTATGAAGGAATATCTTTTGACTTAAAGAGATGGGAAATATAATGGAAAATTTTAAGCACATCCTGATGAACTTGCTTACTGCATAAACAGATCTGATGATTAAGCTTAAAAATGAAAAATGTTTTTCATTGGTGGAGGGTACTTTGTCTATTCATAAGTACTTCTCTTCCAACAAAAAGTACTCTCTAATACAATGGCAATTTAGTCTGCATTAGGAACAAGAGGACTTTATTCTGCTTACTTAACTAAAAGTCACCTCTCTTTACATATCTGAGCTCTTATTATTTTTAACCATATCTAGTAGGAGGGTTTCACAAATGTGCTATATACATCTTCCTTTTATTTGATACTTAGGACCAATGGTATAATCTTCCATAACTGAACATGGAGACTAAAGATAAATACAAGACTTTCAGTTCTTGTTCGGGTCTTGTCTATTACTGGCAGCTGCCTGTATTCTGTTGAGTGCTGCATCATTTTCTAATCTAATGTGCTAAACACCCCCCCCACACACACACAAAGCTGACTAGAAGTTTACTTAAAATATAATAAATGATTCTAGGTGAGAATCTTTTCATAGGGAGGATTGTATACATTTTCCTTTACATTTGGTTTTGGAAATGTGTTCAGTATTTATCTGGCCTGTAAGATTAACTATAACATTGTTCATATAATTTAAAAAAATGAAAGAGAAACGCTTCCATTAAGCACTCAATATGAGTGATTATTTAAACTCAATCTTACATTGAATGATTCTGATAAACGATGATATAAAAATCTTACTTTTGTACATCTTCATGTGGATTCTGCCTTCCACACTAATCTCTTTTCCACAAATTTCCCTTGATGAGGTTTCAATAACATTTTAAAAGCCTACATACTATAGCTGTGGTTCACACCTGTAATCTTTACTACTCAGGAGGATGAGAGCTAGAGGATCAAGGTTTATGGTCAATCTCGGCAGAAAAGTCCTCAGGACTCCATCTTAAAAAACAAGCTGGCTTCAGTGACTCATGTCTGGAATCCTAGCTACTCAGGAGGCTGAGATCTGAGGATCGTAGTTCAAAAGCCTGCCTGGACAGGAAAATCCATGAGACTCTTATCTACAATAAAAAAAAAAAAACCCAGAAAACGGAAGTGTCACTGTGGCTCAAGTAGTAGATCACTAGTTTTGAGCTGAAGCGCTCAGGAACAGCACCCAGGCCCAGAGTTCAAGCCCCATGATGGACAAAACAAACAAAAAAACAACAAACAGGCTGTTTTCCACTGTCTGGATACAGTGGAAAGCAGTCACAGTGGCTAATAAAGATTCATAGCCACAAACAAACAACAACAAGGCAAACAAAAAAAACAGCAAAAAGCTGGGCTGGAGATTGGCTATAGTATTAGAAATCCAGTAGAGCAGCAAGCAGAATATTGAGTTCAACTCAATAGCAAAAGAAAGAAAAAAAGAAAAAACCCTCTGATACCATATTCCCTGACATCTCTGCAGTTGATGTGGATTACTTGTTTTCCTGAACTGTATTTGACTCTACACATTCTCTTAAGTTGTCTGGTTCTTATTAGAAGCCATTCAACACACCTTGTATTTCAATAACATTCAAATATCCACAATACACCTCTATTTCCAAGACTTTTTATCTAGATGTTAAGAATATAGGGCCACTTTATTTGATCAGTTTCTTCTTCATTTTCTTGTTTCTTTTTTCTACCATTCAAGGAGGCAGTACTTACACAGATCCAGCAAGCAACTCTGAAGATCCTCAGACTTCTGTTTACAATGGCTGTCAAATCTACTCCTTCCACAGATCAAAGACTACTATATAATTCTTCTCTTATCTCTACCCTGTGTAGTCAAATCTTGACCACACTAAAACCGTAGAAAAGCCTGTATCTCCATGATGAAGTTAGAATTTAGCAATATTAAGAGTTGTATAATTACATATTAGTAAACCAAGAATAGCCTAACAAACTGAACAGAGCAAGCTGTATTATTACACACATTATTTCAGTGGTCATAATTTGATTAATTGATGTACATGTTATAAAAAGTCTCCAAATAAGTTGGGTGCTCACATCTGTAATCCTAACTACTCAGGAGTCTAAGAACTGAAGATCACGGTTGGGAGCCAACATGGGCAGGAAAGTCTGAGACTCTTTCCTCCAATTAAACACACACACCCATACACAAAAAAAGCCGTAAGTGGAGCTGTTGTTCAAGTGGAAGAGCACTAGTCCTGAGCAACAGAGGCCATGGACAGTGCCCAGATCTTGAGTACAAGTCCCCAGAACCCGCACAAAAACAAAACAAACAGAAAAGCTCTATTTTTACCACATTTAAAATGATGTTTCTCAAACCTTTTCAGCCAATGTCCCTTGCCAGGAGAGGAGAAATCTGAACCTGTAACCCAAGGCACCTCTAAAACCCAAATGCTATGACAAACTAATTTTACCTTTAAAATTAATAAGAGGCCAAAGTTCTAAGTAGCTCATTAGTAGAGTCCTTCCTAAGCATGCAGGAAACCCTGAGTTAATCTCCAGCATCCCCCCAAAACTAAGCAAATAAAATTAATGTGTCACTGTCGCTCCATAAAACACACTTGTGTTTCTAGAAACGACATTTAACATTGTTTTAGCAATAAGTACCAATGCTCCAATGCTTCTGAAAGGAGCACTTGGTTTATCCCGTGGCTCTGCATGCTCCTATACCTCCCACCTCTAGAGTCTGAACAAGACATAAGAACGGGTTTACTGTCCAGCTCTTGAAGGGACTGATAGAAGCAAGACAGGTGACATGAGAATCCAACATTTACTTGAAATTCGAGAACCTTAATAACCGCTAAATAATTTCAAATTAGAACACCACGACAATGCTTCAAAATGTCACTCAATCTTTTGCTAATTCCAAAACCTTCCAGTTTAAAGTTGTTGGTTTTTTTTTTTTTAATCATTGATTCCTTTTACATCTCCACGTTGCTTCCTTTCTAATGAACGAAGTGCACTTCCCATTTTAAATACTATGTCACAGGACAGGCACCTCTTCGTATGTATTTTGCTTCCCTAGCCTTCAAAGTGTTGTTTTCTTCTCCAGGGCCAGAGAGCTTAGTCCTTCAGGGACTGCACTCTCCGGATCGTGAACAGTACAACAAAGGCAAGGAGGCGTCGTAACCAGGGGTCCCGAGTGCCTCTACCGGCGGCGCCCGGACACGGGACAAGCGACGCTGTGATGTCGCTGGAAGCTCGGAAGCGAAGCGCCAGCGCCTCACCGGCTGCAAACAACAGTCCTAATTACAGTGTCGCAGGTAACCCATCATTAGCCTCCAGCAGTCAGGGGTCCACTCGGGGAACAACCCACACCGCAAGGCCGGCAAGTTCCCCTCGAACCCTGAACCGGCCTGAGTTCCGGCCGCCCTCCGCTGGCTCCGGGCCGGCCCCGGGCGTGGACGCGGCCCGCTCAGCGCCCGCGGCTCAGACAGCCCCAGGCCCCGGATGTGACGGCACCGCCGCCCCAGGCGCTTGTCCTCCGGACCAGGGTGGGGTGTCCCGGAAAAGCGGCCTGGGGGAAGGGGGTGTTCTTCCCACCGAGCAGCCGGTCACACGTACCCAAGTAAGCAGGCTCTCGCACAGCTCCACCCGCTCCACCGACTCCACGTTGAACATCTTTCTCGCGGGGGTTCTGCAGCGTCTCTTCGCCCAGCCAGAAACCGCGCGCTCGGCCTGAGGGCGAGTCCGCAGGTCCGGCAGCCGACCGGCTTCTGGCTCACTGTTTCTCAGGCCCGACTGCCGCCGCCGCCGCCGCCTCTGGCCCTGGCCCTGGCAGCAGCTCTCGCACCGTCACCCCGGCGCCCCTCCTTCTCGCATTCAGGCCCGTCCGCCCCGCCCCGGTTGCCCACGCCCTCCTGCGCTTTCGGAAACCAGCGCTAGCCACGGCCGCGCCACTGCGCACACTCGCGCTCTGCTGGCCCAGTCCACCGCGCGCGCCCCCGACTCCGGGGCGCTGCGTGTCTCCACGCGCACGCGCCCGACCTGCCGACGGCGGGTCTTCCTTTCGCGTCCTCGCGCTCTTACGGAAGCTCCGCAGTGCGCGTGCGCCAGCGCCCGCACTACAAATTGAAAAAGATACAGCTTTGTAGTTGCCCGGGAGGGGGTGGCAAGGCGGTCCCCGGAAATATCCTCTGTTCTGTCACCGGGAACTGGCGAGGTAGTTCCTCCGCGGTGGAGAGGTACGCGCCCCTCTACCTGGTCGCGAGCGTGTGGCCGGCCACGCCCCCGAACCCGGCCCGCGGCTGGTAGGGACAGCGGGGTCCCGCGTGGGCGGGACTACAGGGGCGGCGTGGGGCTGTGGTTCTGCGGGTGCTGGTCTCTGCCTTGATCCCGCCCTCTGCCTGCCTACCAGAATCCGGTACTAAGCCCAGGATCTCTCCATTCCCATCCAGAACTGGCGGCGACGGTGAAAGGTCCGGGTGGTTGGGCATCTTGGCCTCGGGTTGCTTGAGCCTCATCTCCCAGAAAACTATTCGAAATGGGAGAGGGTGGATGGCCAGGTCATCAATGCATAAAGGACCGCCACAGTTCTTAAGGCCTGTTTCTTCTAGTGTTGGGAGTTGGCTTCCTGGAGGCACATCATTGGACAGTTCTCACCTTTGTAGAGACACAAATATGTACACGGTTTGTGATACGTTTCTAAACAGTATGGTATATGAAGAAAAGTTTGTAGGACATACATGCTTAAGAAATAATTAAAACACCCAGATGACAAAAGTTTTGCCAGCTCCCAGAAGCTGCTCATAACCTCCTTGGCCTGACTGTGGCCTTGGGCACTTTCTGTACCACCTATATAAGCATGCAGTATAGTTTTTCTCTGCCTGATTTGAGCTTTTATGAATGGAATCATGCTATGTTAATCTATGGTTTTCAATTAATATTAAAGTACTTGGGTTTTCCTATAGGTTTTTGCATTTTCTACTATTCCATTTATGAATATAGCATTACATCCCGTTCTGCTGGTATGTGTTTGTGTCAGTTTAAAAGTACTCTAAACAATATTATAAACATTGCCATTATTGCAAACATACTGGTGTTTCTAGGGCATGTGCTTTGGAGTCCTAGGAGAACTGTGGACCAATGTGGTATGTGTAACTATCAGATAATGCCTGATTGTATTTGAAGTGCTGCAAGTTAAAGTGACACATTTTAACCTTCACAAGGCAATTTGTTATTATCTTAGTCTATAAAATTTGTAAATTCTACAAGCTTTGACAGTCAACTATTTCTTCTGTGTTGGGTGATATGTACATTTCTTTTGCTTATTGTTAGCTATTCCTCCTCCTATTACCCCCCCCCCCCAGGGCCTGTGTGCTTTGATTCTCTACCAGTTGGGCCACATTTCCAGTTTTTTGGTGGTTAATTGAAGACTCTTATGGATTTTCTTGCCTGGCTGGTTATGAAACACGATCCTCAGATTTCAGCCCCCTGATTAGCTACAGATGTGAGCCTCCAAAGCCCAACTCAAAAGTAGGTTTTCTTAAAGCCCGATAGCTGAGAAGTAGGGGACTTGCCTATCACAGGTGCTAGGTTTTATCGCTAGCACTGGGGGTGAGGAGGGAAAGTAGGTTTCTTATTGAGTACTAAGAACTGTCAAGACAGCATAAAGCTTTTAATGATGCCTCATGGAGGACTAGTTGATAGCTCATATATAACTGATCTTTTTATGAATGTAAAAATATTACTAGAAGTCTTTCTTCTCAGTGGTCTTTCTTGCAAGCATCCTTCTTAAACCAAAGAAAGAAAACCCTTTAGCAACTGTGATTATGACTCTTTGTCTTTGGTTCCTCTGTTGGTGCTTCTAGGTCAAACCAGAGTTCCTGCATTTCATACTAAATTGATTCTGTAGAATTCCTGTCACTTTAAGTGACTCTCCCTTGTTTGGCAAGCAAATAGTCAATATGCTATATTGACTTCAGCCTGACTGGTGAGGACCATTTGCTGGTGTATACCAATTGTCTTTGATTGTGGAGGCCAAAGGTGCTAGACCCTGATGGAGGACTATGGAGTAGGAGGCATCATTTCACCAGCTGCTTAGGTTTTCAAGGCCTTGATAAAATTAATGTAATGCCTCCTTTTCTAGACGTGGCTGTGAATCCACAATGGTGTGTGTGTGTGTGTGTGTGTGTGTGTGTTTGCTTGCGCGTGCGTGTGTATATCCTGCAGTGTTCCTGAGATTGTGTGTATGAGACTGAACTCTGGAGGGCCTGGGTACAGTCCCTTAGCTTTTTCATTCAAGATTAGAACTCTACTACTTGAGCCACAGCTCCATTTCTGGCTTTTTTGGTTGTTAACTGGAGATAAGAATCTCATGGACTGAGCTAGTTTTGAACTAGGGTCCTCAAATCTCAGCCTCCTGAGTAGCTAAGATTACAGGTATGAGCCACCAGCTTGTTCTTAATTTTTTTTTTGTCAGTTGAGGGGCTTAACCTCAGGGCCTGGGCACAGTCCCTGAGCTCCTTTGTTCAAGGCTGGTGCTCTATCACTTTGAGCCACAGCTCGACTTCCCAGTTTTGAGTGGTTAATTGGAGATGAGTCTCATGAGAACTTTTCTGCCTGGTCTGGCTTTGAACCGTAATCTTCAGATATTAGCCTCCTCAGTAGCTCCTCAGTAGCTAGGATTACAGGTATGAGCCACCAGTGCCTGGTTTAAGGTTTATTTCATAGTACAAATTAGCCTCCATGAACAAAATTAAAGTTTCTTGAATGGAATTGCAGAAGCCATATAGACATCAAGTTTCTAAATGTTTGTAGAAAGACACTGAATCTTTTCTTTGTTCTAGGAAGTCCTTAAATTTTGTTTTCCCCGTGTGTGTGTGTGTGTGTGTGTGTGTGTGTGTGTGTGTGTGTCAAAGAGAGTTTGAGATTAAATTGTACAGCTATTGCACTACTCATAAGGCATGACCAAATTTTACATAGTTCTGCTGATTCCTTGATTGTAGTTAATATAGTAATTAAAATGTTAGAGCTTCTTCTCACAACTTGTAGAATGTGCCATACGATATGTTAAATGCTTTACCTTCATGATATTATAAATTGTGTAAGGTATTTTATTTGCTTAAAAATGGCAACCTAAATTGTGCGTTGTACATAGGAGGAAACTGAGATTCACACTTCACAGAAGCACACAGCTGGCTGACTGCTTTACAATATTAAGCTACTCCTTTGTAAGATTTAGCCAGCTAAGCAGTGGCAAAACCAGTCCTCTTCAGGTTTCTAACTACATACTTTCCAAGATCAATTGTGTCTTGTTTTTGTAATGTCACCTGGGTGCAGGTAGCTCATGCCTATAATCCTAGATATTAAGGAGGCTGACATCTGAGGATTACAGTTTGAAGCCAGCCTAGGCAGGAAATTCTGTGAGATTCTGATCACCAATTAACCACTAAAAAGCTGGAAGTAGAGCTGTGACTCAAAGTGGTAGAGTGCTAGCCTTGAAAAAGCTCAAGGACAGTACCTAGGCCCTGTCTGAATTAAAGCCCCACGGCTGACAAAACAAAAACAAAACTTCATTTTTAAATATGGTAAGATCCCATGAAATGATTTATTTATATTGTATTCTATTAGTGTTCCTCCCAAAAACATAGAAGGCCTTGCACACTGCTCAAGGGAATAAGATATAGCTTCTAATAAAAAAGGAATCATGAGGGCTGGGAAGGTGGCTCAGTGGTAGAGTGCTTGCCTTGCATGCCTGAGGCCCTGGGTTCGATTCCTCAGCACCACATAAGGAAAAAGAAAAAAAGCCAGAAGTGGCGCTGTGGCTCAAGTGGTAGAGCGCTAGCCTTGAGCTGAAGAGCTGAGGGACAGTGCCCAGGCCCAGAGTTCAGGCCCCACGACCAGACCCCAAAAAAAAAAAAAAGGAATCATGACTAGTAGGTGAGGTTAGCAATTGACATGCCATGCAGTCCAGATGTGCCTCCTTTCTTTTTTTTTTGAGTCCGGTCATGGGGCCTGAATTCTGGGCCTGGGCACTGTCCCTCAGCTCTTCAGCTCAAGGCTAGCGCTCTACCACTTGAGCCACAGCGCCACTTCTGGCTTTTTTTTTTCTTTTTCCTTATGTGGTGCTGAGGAATCGAACCCAGGGCCTCTGGCATGCAAGGCATGTGCTCTACCACTGAGCCACCTTCCCAGACCCAGATGTGCCTCCTTTTGCCCTATACTGGAATCCTAGAAGGTACCCTCTGAAAACTGAGAGTGGGTAAATAGTGGTTAAGAAGAGTCTTTGAGAGCTAATCTGCATCTCAACAGAGCAGTATATACTGCTTTATTTTTTCATAAATGTTCAAGAGGTACATAGTTGAGATGAATTTAAACTACAGAAATATATCCTGGGGAAAGTGATGATCTGGCTCTTCAGTTCTGCAGCCCATTAATGTCTTTAACTTTTGGTTTTTATCTTGCTTGCCTTCTTTCTGTTTTGAAAGCTCTGAACAGGAAAATGTAGGGGCGAAAGGAAAGGAAGGTATCATGAAGCCCAACTTAAATATTTTGCAGAAAATGGGAAGTCCTAAGAGACAGTGAGGTCACAGCTGTGGTAACAGAATTGAGAACCTGTTACTATAAGGCAAAATCAGAAACACTATTTTATTCTAGAAGAACACTGATTATGACAAACTGAAATTAGAGCACTGTAGTCAGGTTAATTTTGGAGTTCCTCTTCAAGATTTAGCTAGGTAAGGTGATACATGGCTGTAACCCCAGTGCTTGGGAGACTGAAGCTAAAGGACAACCTATTAAAGGCCAGCCTGACTACAAAGGAAAACAAAACAAAAGGTTGAGGTGTTTATGTCCTTTCTCCAGGTAGGAAATACAAGTCTTTTT